TCCTTTGCCATTTTTTGATAGGTTTGATTTTTTCTTGCGTGATTTTCCTGAGTTCTAATAGATTCTAGTTTTAGCCCTTTATCGGATGTGTAGTTACAAAATTTTCTCCATTCTGTGGTGTCTGTTTCCTCTCTTGACAGTTTTTGGGCTGGCAGAAGCTTTTTGATTTGATCAGCACTCCATTTTTTATTTTTGTTGCTGCTGTGACTGCCTTTGGGGTCATCTTCTAAATTCTTTGTCTTAGGCCAATGTCGTAGAATCGCTTCATAAAATGTGTTGGGGAGGATTCCATCCTTCTCGATGTTGTGGAATAATTTTTGCAGGATAGGCACCAGTTTTTCTTTGTAGGTGTGGTAAAACTTGGGTGTGAAACCATCTGGTCCAGGACTTTTCTTTTTAGGATGTTTTTATTATTGCTGTTTCAACCTCAGTAGTTGATATTGGTCTGTTCAGGAATTCTATTTCTTCTTGGTTGAGCCCAGGGAGGCTGTGTGTTTCTAAGAAATTGTCCATTTCCTCCATGTTTTCCAGTTTGTGTGCATAAAGATTTTTGTAGTATTCATAAATTATATCTTGTATCTCTGGGGCATCAGTTGTAATTTCTCCTTTATTGTTCCTGATGGAGCTTATTAGAGATTTTTCTTTTCTGCTTTTCGTTAGTCTAGCCAATGGTGTGTCAATTTTATTTTTTCAAAGAACTAACTTTTTGTTTTATTAATCTTCCGTATAGTTTCCCTGTTGTCAATTTCGCTTAGTTCTGATTTGATCTTAATGATTTCACTTCTTCTGCTGAGTTTGGGGTCAGTCTATTCTTTTTCCAGTTCTTTGAGACGATTCATTAGGTTGTCTATTTGTGACCTTTTCAACTTTTGGATATAGGCATTTATGGAAATAAACTTTCCTCTTAGGACTGCTTTAGCTGTGTCAGGTTTTGGTAACTTGTGTCTCCTTTGTCATTTAGTTCAAAGAATCTTTTGATTTCCATCTTGATTTCCTCGTTTATGAAGTGATCATTCAGCAGAAGGTTATTTAGTTTCCATGACTTTGTGTAGAAATGAGAACTCCTGTTAGGATTGATTTCTATATTTATTCCATTATGGTCTGAAAAGATACATGGTATAATTTCTATTTTTTTAATTGTTTGAGACGTGCTTTGTGTCCTAGGATATGATCAATCTTAGAGAATGACCCATGAGCTCATGAGAAGAACATATATTCAGTGGTTTTGGGGTAGAATGTCCTGTAAATGTTAGGCCCATTTGTTCTAGAGTTTTTTAAGTCTATTATTTCTTTGTTTTCTGTTTGGAGGATCTACCCTGTGCTGTCAGTGGGGTATTAAAGTCTCCGACTATTATGGTGGTGGTGTTTATCCATTTGTTTAGATTAAGTAGAGTTTGCTTTATGAATCTGGGTGCACCACGGTTGGGTGCATATATATTTAGAATTGTTATGTCTTCTTGTTGAACTGTATCCTTCACCATTATATAGTATAGTGACCTTCTTTGTCTTTTATTACTTTTGTTAATTTAAAAACTAAGTTATCTGTAATCAGCACCACCATGCCAGCTTTCTTTTGGCTTCCGTTTGCTTGACATATTGTTCTCCAACCCCTTTACCTTTAGTCTAGCTGCATCATTTCAGGTTAGATGTGTTTCCTGAAGGCAGCAGATACTTGCCTTGTGTTTTTTTATCCATTCTGAAGGTCCTATATCTTAGAGTCTGTTGGCGGTGTTAGGAGACCTTTTGTGGCCCACCAGTAGGCAGTGGACCACATTTGAGAATTACCTCCCACAAACCTGACTCACTGGTAGTGAACAGCCATAGCTCTTAAAGGGCCCAGAGCTTGAGTTCTCAGTGGGGTTGAAGGGCACAGTACAGCATGATGGCTATGCTAGTGGGAAATGGGACGGGGGAAGTGGGCAAGAGAATATATTTCTGTTCAGGCTATAAGCAGGAAGTGACCCTTCCCACTAATAGGAGTTGCCCCAGTATGCTCTATGTTTGTATGTATCATTAAAAGTAATCCTGAAACCAAAGCCCAGTCACTTGCTGACTTGCCACTGGGTTTCAGTTTGGAAACAAAGTAATGGATTCAACCATACTCCAATTCCTCAACCTCTACTGCTTCTCCTGAGATAAGTTGAAGATAAGCCTGCAATGAATAGATCTTTGAGCTACTGGCATATTTTTCCACCTCCCAGGAAGAACCTCCCTGCCATAACTTACCTGAACAAGGTGTCTGTGGAGTGCACATATTCCCTTGACTAGTAACAAAAATTTGTATAGGGCCGAACCAGGCATTTACAGGTCTAAGTGGAACTCCTTGGGCAGCTGAGAAGACAAGTTTGACAAACAGGAAATCTTTTAATTCTTTTAAGTCAGAAGTATGGCAGTTATCAACTGAACATTTTAACAGAGTATTAACCTTACATGTGTGTCCAACAATGCTCTTGGGATACAAGATAAAAGATAAATATGACCCTTGTCTGGAACCACGTGCTTCTTTCTTTCTTTCTTTTTTTTTAGTGTTAAGCTTGAATTTTTTCCTTTTTTTTTTTTTTTTCTCTCTTTTTCACATGCTTCTTAAGGGCAGAGATTATGTGTCATTTGTCTGTGCTTATTCCAGGTCTAGCACAGCACCTATCATAATAGATATTCAGAAAAAACTTCTGAGTGAAGATGCTATCAAGTTGGCAAGATACCCATTAAAGACCAATGTAAGGGCGGTGTGGTAAAGAAGAAAGCACTTCTGTCTGTCTACCCTCTACGTCTCTCTTATAGGAACACTTGTGATGGCTTTTAGGGCCTGCCTAGATCATCCAGGGTAATCTTGCAGTCTGAAGTCTTAAATTAATTACATCCACATAGACCCTTTTTATAAATAAGGTAACCTTCCCAAGTTCCAAGGATTACAACATGGACATATCTTTGGGATCTATTATCAGCCTACCACACTGAGTCATGTGGCATGTGACCAGAAGTAACATACATAACTTTCAGGGCTGGCCTGTGAAAACTTCCCAGATGAAATCTTTATTCTCTTCCCCTCTCTGCTGGCTGTACAAAGAGGCTGTGGAAGCCATGTGTTAAAGATGGCAGAGACTCTATTATCCTGGGTCCCCAAATAACTATGGAACAAAGCCCCGTCCTGCCCCCACTGATTGGCCTTTTGGTAAGCAGTAATATCTACTGCCTTCAGTATTGATAATTTAGGGTTTATCTGTTTTGGCAGCTAGCATTATCCCAATCAATTCACTAAAAATCTAAAGTTGCCCTCTTTACACCATTACCCTCCTTTTCAATACCTTAACAGTGTCCCTTATAGTACTCCGCACAATAAATAATCACTTTATTCACTTACATGTTTGCTTATTTTGTACGTGATTCTCACTATAAGTTTAATAAAGGTGGGGGCTACATATGTCTTATTCACTGTTGTGTTCCCAATTATCTCACCTATTATTTGGCACATAATAGGTACTCAACATATATGAGTTAAAAACATAAATCAAAGAGCTTTAACATATCAACTCTGCAGAGGGTAAGGGACTCTTTCCTGGTCATAGGATCATAAAGCATGATTAGTGGTTAACTCCAGGGGCCTCACAGGAGTCTATCTCACAGCCCCGGGTTTTTGTGGGAGGGAGGACTAGGTTCCTACCTCTAAGACATGATATAATCAGAAGACCAAAAGCAGTTCCAGACATTGGGACAAGTCTATATAAGTTGTCTAAGTCCTTTTCAAGTGGCTGTGCAACTTCTCAGACCTTGAACCTAGCATTGCAGGCCAAGAAACAGATCTTAATGAGAGCCCAAAGAGGAACCCCTAAAGTTGTCTGACACTTAGCCCTAAAAAAGAAACTCTCCTCAGTACTGTGAGGCCAAAATTAAGAGTGAATTCAAGACCCAGTATACAACCATCCTGAGTTCCCCAGCCATCTGCAGTAAAGAAGTACTGGACTTCCAAGTGTCCCCAGACCCTGGGTTTGGGGACATAACTGTACTCCTCTGTCTTCCAGGATACTTTGTTATCCAATTTCAGGCTTCCAGATGTTATCTGCCCTCTGGACTACCAAAGAGCTGAGGGTTGGGTACAGCTTCTGAACTTCTTGGCCTCTCTATCTTTATCACTAAAGGTAATTGTAAAAATTTTTCTTACTCCTCAACCTCCTATAATATGGCTCTTTCACTACCCTTCTTCTCCAGCATTTTGCTGAAATCTCTCTTGTTACAATCAACAAACTCTAGTTACCACATGCAATGCTCACTTTTCAGTCTTCATTTTATCAAACATCTCAAGAGCACCTGACACAGATGATCACCCCATATCTCTTGAAACCTTCTCCTTCCTTGACTTTTGGGATAGTAAACTCACCTCCTGACTCTCCTCATTCACCTCAGTCAGCCCCCTCTCAATTTTTGTAGACCACTCATTCTCATCCCTTCTGTTAAATGTTAAGGGCCCTTGTAACTCTATCTTCTTCTTCTTCTTTTTTTTTTTTTAGACAGAGTCTCACATTGTTGCCTAGGCTATAGTGAGTGCCGTGGTGTCAGCCTAGCTCATAGCAACCTCAAACTCGTGGGCTCAAGCAATCCTTTTGCCTCAGCCTCCTGAGTAGCTGGGACTACAGGCATGCGCCACCATGCCCAGCTGATTTTTTTCTATATATATTAGTTGGCCAATTAATTTCTTTCTATTTATAGGAGATACGGGGTCTCGCTCTTGCTCAGGCTGGTTTCGAACACCTGACCTCGAGCAATCCACCCGCCTCAGCTTCCCAGAGTGCTAGGATTACAGGTGTGAGCCACCGTGCCTGACCGTAACTCTATCTTCAATTCACTGAAGAAGCCCATCACTCACATGGCTCCAGAGACAACCTGTGTGCTAAGGATTTACCAATCAGTCTCTAGATACAGCTCATCTTTGTAGTTTCCAAGCTCCATGTCCAGTAGCCTCTAGCATCCCCATGTACCTCACCCTTAAGATGGCATACGGGTTAAGAGTGTAGGTTCAGAAGAACACAACATCATTTATGTAGTATTCCTAATAAAATGCATGACCCGAATATAATCATGAAGAAACAGAGAAACCCAAATGAAGTGACATTCTATAAAACAATAAGCCTGATTTCTTTTTAAAATGTCAGTGTTATGAAAGACAAAGGCTGAGTTCCTGATTAAAGCAGACCAAAGAAATAGGACAACTAAATTCAATGTGTGATACAGAATTAGATTCTGGATTAGAAGGGGAAAGTGCCATTAGAATTAGGAACAGTAATGGGACAATCATTTAAATTTGAATATAAACTATACATTAAATAATATTGTATTAGTGTTAAATTTTTTGAATTTGATAAGTACACAGAGGTTAGATAAGAGAATACCTTTTTTTTTTAAGACAGAGTCTCACTCTGTTGCCCGTACTAGAGTGCAGTGGCGTCAGCCTAGCTCACAGCAACCTCGAACTCCTGGGCTCAAGCAATCCTTCTGCCTCAGCCTCCCGAATAGCTGGGACTATAAGCATGCACCACCATGCCTGGCTAATTTGTTCTATATATTTTTGTTAGTTGTCCAGCTAATTTCTTTCTATTTTTAGTAGAGAAGTGGTCTCACTCTTGCTCAGGCTGGTCTGGAACTCCTGCCTCAGCCTCCCAGAGTGCTAGGATTACAGGCATGAGCCACCGCACCAGCCAAGAGAACATCCTTGTTCTTAAGAGATATACACTTGAATATTTAGAAATGAAGGAAATGATCTTTGTGACTTATTCTCAAATAGTTCAGCAAGAACAAAAGCAAAAAAAAAGGAGAGCGAGAATAATAAAAAGCAAATGTGGGAAAATGTTAATAATGAGTGAATATAGATTATGGGAGTTCATTGTAATATTCTTGCACCTTTTCCACAGATCTGATTTTTTAATAATAAGTTTAAAAAGAGAAAGAGAATAGGTTTAGGGTTCAAATTCTAGCTCCATCACTTGCTGCCAATATAGTCTTGGAAAATTATATACATCACTGACTCAGTTTCCCCAGCTATAAACTGGGAATAATGATAGTACCTACATCATAATGTTTTTGTGAGGATTAAACTGAAACATGTAATGGGCTTCAACAGTATATGGTAAACATTCAATAAATGTTAGCCAGTATTATTATGTCTAAAATTTAACTAATTTCCTCTCCAACATATATTGTTGACCATGGTTTCTAGCATCATGATCCATTCAGTCTTCTAAGCTAGAAACTTTACTCTGTCCTGTGTGTCCCTAGCACTTTGTCCATGCCTTTATTACAGCATGTGCCACAAGATATGATAATATATCTGTATGTATCTGTCTCTAATAGATTGTGTTTGTCTTAACTAGATTGGAGTTGTGAGTGGAAGGCAAGGGAAAAAGAAGAAAAGCTTTCCAGACAGGAGAAAATAGCACAAAGACTCAGAGATAAGAGAGAAAAAGCACAAAGAACTCCAGTTTGATTGGAATATAAAAGGTGACAGAGTGAGGGGAATGAAGTGAGGCTAGATTGAATAAAAATATATCACAAAAGGAGTATTTGTAATCTAAGTTTGGAAGAGTTCTCTGGTGCATCCATTAGATCAGTGCTATGGGACTTGACAGTACATCTCTCCTCTCATGGAAGACAAAGACTGAACCTAAGAGAAGCAAAGGCAAGGACAGAGAGAAGGAAAAAAAAAAAAAAGCCATACCAGAGGAAAAATAGCTAAGGCAACTGGGGATAGCTGACCTGAAGAAGAGATTGGTCAATGGATATGAGACCAGTATTTAAATGGACAAAAGACTATCAGGTATAATTAGTCATTTAGATGTTTGATTATAAGCTCCCACTGGATTGTAAGCTCCTTCAGGACGGGAAAGGACTAATAATCTTTGTGTTCCCAGGATGTAATATAGTAGTTGGCATATAGTAGGTATGCCCAGGAAATGCCGGCTGAATACATGTGCAAATACCAGCTGCCCGATCGCAGACGCCAGCAAACCTTGGCTAAGTAGAAGTCCTACTTCACACGCCTGTAATCCTAGCACTCTGGGAGGCCGAGGCGGGTAGATTGCTCAAGGTCAGGAGTTCAAAACCAGCCTGAGCAAGAGCAAGATCCCATCTCTACTATAAATAGAAAGAAATTAATTGGCCAACTAATATATATAGAAAAAAATCAGCCGGCCATGATGGCGCATGCCTGTAGTCCCAGCTACTTGGGAGGCTGAGGCAGAAGGATTGCTTGAACCCAGGAGTTTGAAGTTACTGTGAGCTAGGCTGATGCCACGGCACTCACTCTAGCCTGGGCAACAAAGCAAGACTCTGTCTCAAAAAAAAAAAAAATCAAGAAGTCCTACTTCAATTCCACAAGCCTTAAAACCCCAAAGCACTTAATATCTTTAACATCACCACTCACCAGCAGAGGCAGCTTTGCTCATCAATTTGGCAAATGTGATTGCACCTCCTCTTATGAAGACTAGTTTAAAAATAGCCTGTCCTTCCCAGCCACCTAAGGGGAGAAATAGGACACACTCACTAAGAGACTGGTACCACTGGCAACAGAAGAACTGCCCAAAGAAGCAACTACTTGGGAGTCCCAGATACTTGAGAGGCTGAAGTGTGAGGGCAGCTTGAGCCCAAGAGTTGGAGGATACAGTGAGCTATGATCATGCCACTGCACTCCAGCTGGGGTAACAGAGCAAGACTCTGTCTATTTAAAAAAAAAAAATGCATAGATGAATGAAGGACTGCCCAAAGCAGCAAGGTAGCTTTCATTTGAATTCCAAATGAACCAAGTCTGAATCCTAAACCTTCTAGAAGATTTTGAGGGGAAAAAAAAAAAGCATACTTCTGAGAGGGAACACTTACCATCTGGAGCTGCCTGAATAGTTCCTTTAATGTAGTTTGCAGCAAAGACTGGTTGTTCAACGGTGCAGTTCTTCATCAGGTCAAATGGCATCATAAAAGACAACATGGGATCATTGACTGAGCGGGAAGTCAAGAAAATCACCTAAGCAAGGAAAGAAACTTTGGAAAAGGAATGCAGAATTTGAGACCTATAAGAGCAAGGTCAAGGCTTCTTTGGCATCCTGGCCTAATTGAGAAACATCACTCATTTTCTTCCACTGCTCCTCAACATGGAAAATCCCAAAGTGCAAATGTTTTAAAACACTTTGAAAGTCAATGTTTAACTTCTCTCCATTTTAAGGAAAACAAATGCAGAATCAGTAGATTAAAGTAAAAGTAGCAATTACCCGGTGTGAAGTGAGAACCAATGTTCCCCTCTTAGTACCACTAAAGAGGTTGGAGCCCTCTGGTTGCTGTGGGAAGGAGAGCTCCACATCTGGAGACTGCATCAGGAGACTGGCAAAGGACAGGCAGACAGAACACAATTTAGAAGTAATATAAAATGATATACACAAAGCTCTTAGCACAGTTCTTATCTCAGGGTAAACACTCAATAAATGTTAGCTGCTGCTACTGCTACTACTACTACTACTATACTATTTTATTGAAATAAAAAGGAATGCAAGCTGGGTGTTGTGGCTCACATCTGCAATTCTAGCACTTTGGGAGGCTGAGGCAGGAAAAGCGCTTGACACCAGGAGTTCAAGGCTAGCCTGAGCAACATAGCAAGACCATTTCTACCAAAAAAGATTTAAAAATAAGCCAGGTGTGGTGGCATGCACCTGTAGTCCTAGCTACTTGGGAGTGAGATCTTGTCTCAATAAATTTTTAAAAATAATTTTAGAAAGGAATTCAAATGATCTTATTATCTGATAACACTCTTATTCTTCTCCCTCTTTATCATTGAATTTATTTGTTTTTTCTTGTCTAAGGTACATCTATTCTCAGTGTTTGTTCATTAATGCTCATGCTTCTCATGCAGTAAGTGTAAAGTACTGTGCTACTGGAAATATTTCGACTCTGGTAGAGAAGGTAAGGCATGCAGACTGTCCCAGGACCCTCTGACATGTTCCCTCAGCCTGCTGGGTTCTCTCTGCGCTCTTAAACTGGACTCATCTTATTCTCAATCATAGAATCCTGTTGAGTTTTTTCTTTCTTAATAAGTATTATAATATATATGTGTTTATTTGTTCAATGTCTTCCTTAATGATTGTTAGGGACAATGTCTGCCTTCTTTGCTACTGTAGCCCTAAAAAACAGCAGGTGCTACCAAATTATTTATTGAAACCATAAATGAGGCCAGGCATGGTAGTTCATGTCTGTAATCCAAGCACTTTAAGAGGCTGAGGCAGGAGGATCCCTTGAGGCCAGGAGTTTGAGACCAGCCAGGGCAACATAGCTAGACCCTATTTCTAGAAAAAAACTAGCCAGGCATGGTGGTACACACTTGTAGTCCCAGCTACTTGGGAGGCTGAAGTAGGAGGACAGTTTGAGCCCAAGAGTTCGAGGATACAGTGAACTATGATCATGCCACTGCACTCCAGCTTGGGTGACAAAGTGAAACTCTGTCTTAAAAAATAAAATAAAATGAAGGAAAACATGAATACAGATCATAATGCAAGCAACAGATGACATACATAATCTAAATGGTACAAAAATGTCATAGCAATTTAGTGGAAGGAGAGATTAGTTTTGGTTGAAGTAATTAGGAATGACCTCACAGAAAGTCTGCACTTTGAGCTGAGTCTTAAGTGATGAGTAGTGTGGTTCAGCAGGCAGAGGTGAGGGTAGGGGACAATTCAGATGAGGAGCAAACAGCTTTAATGGAGGTGCAGCAGTAGATAATGAAAATCAAACTGAATACTTGGGAAAAGCCTATTGGTGTGGCATCATCAAAACATAGTGTGGGAATGAGAATAGGAGCAACAGAGATAAAGTTTGAAAGCCATGCTGGGACTAGAGCTTAAAGACATCATTTGACAGGCAAGGAGGAACTGTGAACTTCAGATTTCTCAGCAGGGAAGTCACATGATCAAGAAGGTGATAGTATATTGGAGAGATCAGTTTAAGAGTTCCTAAAATAGTCCTGATATAAGGTAATAAGAACCAGAGTAACAGTGTAGAAATAAAAAGGGAAGAGTTTTTAAAAACATGATGAAAATACAGGACCATCAGCAAAAACAGTGAAATAGGAAACTCCAAATGTCAGTCCAATCACAAAAGTAATGAATAAACTGGCAAAAACTGTCAGAATCAAATTAAAATTTTCAGAACTCTAGAATCTAATCAAAAGATTATAGCAACTACGAGAACATTTAAACAAGACAAAAACAGCTGAATCTCAGTAAGCGAGCTTTAACTTACCCTGGTATCATCCTCCACTGCCCACCTTGGCAGCAGCTTTGAAGACAACAATCTACATTCCAAGTATAGGTACCAAGTACTGGAGGGAGCAGAACAGACTTATTCTCAAAAATTGTGGTTGTAGGCCAGGCGCGGTGGCTCACGCCTATAATCCTAGCACTCTGGGAGGCCAAGGCGGGAGGATTGCTCGAGGTCAGGAGTTCGAAACCAGCCTGAGCAAGAGTGAGACCCCATCTCTACTATAAATAGAAAGAAATTAATTGGCCAACTAATATATATAGGGGGAAAAAAAGATTAGAACACAGATAAATGAAGGAGAAAACAGAAAAAATAGGGGGGAAAAATCAAAACTGAGTTGGTTTTTTTTTTTAAAGATCAACAAAATTGACAAACTTGGCTAGATTAATGAAGACACAGAGGGAAGATTCAAATAACTAAAAGAAATGAAGTGAACTGAAAAAGGGGAAATTAAAACTGAAGCCACAGAATTACAAAGAATTATAAGAGAATACCATCTCAAAATTTATTTTTAATTAGCTGGGCATGGTGGCATGCACCAGCAACCAGAAGGCTAAGGCAGGAGAATCCCCCTTTTTTTTTTCTGAGACAGAGTTTCACTTTGTTGCCGGGGCTAGAGTGCCGTCAACCTCAAACTCCTGAGCTCAAGCGATCCTTCTGCCTCAGCCTCCCGAGTAGCTGGGACTACAGGCATGCGCCACCATGCCCGGCTAATTTTTTCTATATATATTAGTTGGCCAATTAATTTCTTTCTATTTATAGCAGAGACGGGGTCTCGCTCTTGCTCTGGTTGGTTTTGAACTCCTGACCTCGAGCAATCCACCCACCTCAGCCTCCCAGAGTGCTAGGATTACAGGCGCGAGCCACCTCGCCCGGCCTTTCTATATTTTTAGTTGGCAAATCAATTTATTTCTATTTGTAGTAGAGACGGGGTCTCACTCTTGCTCAGGCTGGTCTCAAACTCCTGACCTTGAGCGATCCACCACCTCGGCCTCCCAGAGTGCTAGGATTACAGGCGTGAGAGGAGAATCCCTTGAGACCATAAATTCAAGGATGCAGTGAGCTACAATTATACCACTGCACTCCAGCCTGGGCAACATAAATGAGACCCCATTTCTTTAAAAAAGAAAGGGGAGGAGGTAAGGACAGAAGGAGTCAAATCAGGAATACAAGGTAGATGCCTAATTTCCCCTAGAAACTCTCCCCAAATTGCCCTTAATGAGAGAAATGTTTAATGAGCAGGAACATCGCCATCATGGAGACTCTGGTGAAGCCTTCCCAGATGTTTTTCCAGCAAAGCTTTGGCTTTTTCAAAACACTTTCATAATAATAAAATTTTATTGCTGTTTGCTGCCTCCCCAGAAAGTCAACAAGGAAAACGCCTTGAGCATCTCAAAAAACTACTGCCACAACTCTTGCTCTTGAGCAATCTGCTTTTGACTAGACCACTTCTACCTCTTTTTAGCCATTGTTTTCATCGTGCTTTGTCTTCAGGATAGTACTAGTAAAGCCATGTTTCATCTCCTGTGACAATTATTTAATGAAACCCTTGAGGATCTACATCCCATTTGTTTAAAATTTCCAATGAAAGCTCTGCTCAGCTGCAGCTGAGCTGGGCACAATGGTTTTGGCACCTACCAAACGGAAAGTTTGCTGAACTTTAATTTTTCAATCAGAATTGTGTAAGCTGAACCAATTAAGATATCTATGGTAGGCTGGGCAAGGTGGCTCATGTCTGTATTCCTAGCACTCTGGGAGGCTGAGGTGAGAGGATCGTTTGAGCTCAGGAGTTTGAGACCAGCCTGAGCAAGAGCGAGACCCCGTCTCTACTATAAATAGAAAAATTAGCCAAACTAAAAATAGAAAAAAAAGGAATTAGATGCATTGCAAGAGCTGGCACGGTGGGCTCGACACCTGTAATCCTAGCATCTGGGAGGCAAGGCGGGCGGATTGCGCTAGGTCAGGAGTTCGAAAACCAAGCTGATAAAGAGGTAGAGACCCTCTTTATGTAAATTAGAAAGAAATTAACTTGCGCCACTGAATATATATAGGAAAAATTAGCACAGGCTGTGGTCGCATACTTAGTCCAGACTCGGGAGAAGCTGAGCAGAAGGATCACTTGAGCCTAGGTGTTTGAGGTTGCTGTGAGCTACGCTGAAGCCACGGCACTCTCTCTAGCCTGGGCAACAAAGTGAGATTCTGTCTCAAAAAAAAAAGATGCATTGAGGAATAAAGGCTATGAAAAGCTCACACATGTTCCTGGGAATCTAGAGCACACGCATATTG